TATATTATAGTACATGCATATATAATATACAGTGTATCCTAAAAGTTTGGTAATGGTTAAAAATCTCGTAAAATATGCATTTATACCTCGCGCGCGCGAGGTAAATTCGTTCAACTTCAATGCGGTTTACTTTAGGTAATCTTTTTGCCGGCGGTATTGTAAATTTCGAATCCCTTAATCCCATAAAAAAGTTCTTAGAAAAAAGGTTTGTAACCAGTGTTTTCAAACGTCTCAACGTTAGTTACAAGAATGTGAAATAGAATAAAAAGTAGAATGTTCCGTTTGAAAAATTCAAAGTGACCTTTATCTAATCATAGCGGCGTCATCTAGGATCATACTAGGGCAGACAATATACTAATTTTTAGAAATATACATATATTTCTTTATTTATAACAAATATATTTATTTCTTTTAATGATCGACGCAACAACTATTTAGATTTGGTACTATATTTGCAAAAAGATGTAATTTTTTAAGCTGTTTATAGGTAAAATATAAAAATCCGAGTTAGTATATTTTCGATGGAGAAAAAGAAACAGAGCTAGATAAAGTTGTAACATATTTTAAGAAATATATATGTTCTAAAACAGAAATTTACTGCTTTAAAGTCATCTATTCTAAAACACAAAACAAATTCAGTGTTTTAAAAATGAATTACTATATCTATTCTGGAACAGAAATGATCTTTTTATATTATTTTTGTTTTTATAACAGTGAATTTGTGTTTTAGAGCAGAGAATTTGTTTTAAAGCAATAAATTTGTGTTTCAGACAATTTGTTTTTAAAGCAATGAATTTGTATTTGTAAAGCAGTGAATATCTCTATTACAATAAGAATACTTACAACACATTCGCACGATCATACAGCATGAAAATGTGACCTCAGCGCGTGTTTGCATTTCGCGTCTGTGACAGATTTTCTAACCTAATCAACTTAAAATATTTCAGTTTACGAAGCAGAGCGACATTTTTCTTGTCAAATTTCTGTCTTTATTTTTACGCGAAAACGCATCGATTCAGAGTATATTTATCAAAATTTTATGTAAGCGAACTCTTCTTACATTTACCATTAATTGTAATGGTGTTACAATGTACCCTAGCAATACGATATTTTTAACCCCAAACCGATGTCAAAATTTATATATGAATGTATTTGAAACGACTTAAAAATATCATAAAAAGACATGCACATAGCTTGAGAAAATATATTTTAGAATTAATACAATATAATAAAAATACGATAAAAAACATTCTATTTGAAAGTTTAAAACAAAAAAGTATAAAATTGTAAATTTTCACCTATGTGGCTGAGCACAGTATATGTAACTTTTTTTACATGCGGTGTATGCGTGATTGATAACATGAGGCAGATGCAGACCTCGATACTGATTATTTTTGTTCTTCGTGTGATTATCTCTTATTTCATTTAAGGAGTTAGTCTACCCTGAAATAGGGTTGCTACAAATTTTTCGTCCCAAAATTTCCTAACATTGAAAATTGTTAAATATTTTTTTGTTGATAGAGCAATTTAACATAATAGTGTAAATTATTATTAATATTGCTGATATTATATTTAATTGTTAAGTTAGTAATATTTTTTGTTTTTTCCTTTAATATATGAATACGATACTTTTCCTCTTCCTCTCTTTCTCTTTGCTGCTGTACTTAGAATATTAGGAACATAAATCAATGAATACATTTTCTTTTTTATCAAAACTATCCTGTTTATTAAAACCTCAATCTGTCATTATAATATTATTTGAAAGAAAAGTTACAAAAATAATGAAAGTAACATTTATTTTATTCACTTGTTCATAAGTGACAGAGAACTTCCTTAGATATAAACAAAAGAACAGACAACTTTAAAATTTAGCTTTTTACTTAAAAATTAAGATTTCAAATCATTTAAATTTTAAACTTCTTTACAGCCATTTTATTTTTCTAGAAAATTTGGCTAAATCCCTGACTTTTCCATGACTTCCCTAACCATCTTCAAATTTCCTAACTTTTCCATGACTTCTCTGATTTTCCTGATTTGTGGCAATCCTGTAGAAACTTTCCAAAAATTGAAAATTTTCTTTTTGCTTGAATTTCGATAGTTTAGTCTTAAGAATATAAAATTTTATTTTCCGAAAGTAAAATTCTCAATATTAACGAAGATATAGTTGACTATATCGAGCGGTGCACAATTGGTGCCTCCATGCCGTTAAACTGTTCCATTTATGAATAGTTCCGTCATTATTTGACATTACAGTTACATATCTGTACTGTAGATGACGTTGACAAACAATTTTAATATAAATTATATCAACTTCGGTTAGAAATCAATGCGTTTTTCTTAGAATGGTGTTTTCAAAAACGGTGGACACCAGAATTACCACAAAATTAATTCAAATGCTTTGAAATTTGGCTCAGTTATTATCATTGAATTATCTAAAGAAATGGTAAACTTAATTCGTTTTTTCATCTCCAAAATTGATTTATTTCGAAAGGAAGATGAATGATACCTTAATTAAAGTAATTTCCTTCATTTTCTATTACTTTTTCCCATTTCTCCGTCAGAACAATCCCATGATGATAGAACGGTGTCTTTCTAGGCAATCCATTCACCCATTTTTGAATTTCTTCGTAATTAGAGAAGTGTGTGTTCGTAAGTGCGTGTTCCACTGAATCGGAAGAGATGGTAATCCAATGGTGCCAAGTCTGGAGAGTACGCTGGAGGATTTCCCATTCAAGTTGTAAAAGTGTCTGCTTCATGCTGTTCGCAACATGCGATCGAGCGTTATCATGCAACAAAACTGACTTTGCGCGATTGTTGGCTACGGATGATCTTTTTTGTATCAATTTGTCACTCAATCGACATAATTGTTATTTTTAGCGATCAGCTGTAACGGTTTCATTTGGACGCAAGAGCTCGTAATACAGCACACCCTCCTGGTTCCATCAAATGTAGAGCAAGGCCTGTTCATATGCCCGTGAATATTCCTCTTTCACGTTGAAGCAGATAGTTGATCCACCCATGATTTTTTCCGCTTGGGATTATCAAAATAAATCCATTATTCATCGCCAATCACGATGAGCCACAAAAAACTTTTTTTTCTTTGCTTGGCAAGCAAAGAAGTTGCGATAGACAAAATTTATTGACAACTCATTTATGACAACTCATGTAGTAGGATTTATGATAACTCATGTGGTAGCCATCCTTCCTTATGAATCTTTCCCATGTTATATAAGCGTTTTGAGACGGCTTTTGGAATAACATTTGACGTTTTTGACAACTCTAAAAGCGTTTGAGCTGGATTCTTATTGAGCAATTCTTATAGCTCGATTTTCAAATTGTGTCTTGTAGCTCAAATTTTTTCGCTTGTCTTGGACATTTTTTGTCTCTCACATCAAAATCATCATTTCGGAGAAGCATTCAAACTATACTCTACATTCTTTCCGATGGAGTTTCATCACCATACACTAATAAGCGATGCGCTTTAGCTGCGGGTTTTTTTGAGGTCAAAGTAGTGAAGAAGCACATGTCGGAAAAACAGTTCGGAACATCGCGGTTCATTAATAATCGATTGGAAAATCTCTTTGGCGTTGAGAAATCTAATCTATAAGGATTGAATCACTTTCAGCGATGTCTAAACTACAAAAGACATATGACTTCACCGTCGAAACTTATCAATGTTAAAGTTAGCACCCTCTAGCAGCGAGCGGCAGGAATTAAGTTCATCATTTATACCTGTGATTTTTGCGATAACTTATATATTTTTTTTATCCATATTTTTATGTCGAATTTTTATGTGAAAATTTAAACTATTTTTCACGCATGCATTTTCACATTTTTCAATATTTTTAATTCTGCCAGATATTTCTTTAGCAAATTTAACGCAGATTAAAAATAATTTTCTAATTTTTGGTTCTAATTTTTGGTAGAATATCTTAGACCTGTTCTGCTGACCATCGCGGAGGCCTTCATACATGCAAGTCTCCAAAAAACGTGCTGTAGCGCTGCTATTTTGTTTTTTAGAATTATAATTTTTATACATTTTGTATATCAAAATACAAGTAACAAATAGATATAAAAACATTTTTTGTATTATGCATAGTTTTTTAATAATCACTTCTCAAAGTAAGATATGATTTTGATGCCTTCAAGGTGGACTAATCCCTTAAAAGATATACAGGATGGGCCTAAACTCTGGATACATCCAAATATCTCATAAATGACGCATTTTAGAAAAAAATATTTCTTACAAAAGTTGTAAGGCTTAAAAAGACATATTCAACAATAATAGTTATTTGACCTAGAATGACGTTGTCAAGGTCAACATGAATTTTTAAAATGGAACTCCCTCTTTTTCAATATTCATGTAGCTTATCTCGAGCTTTCCAAAACACTATAATTAAGTTTATTTTTATTAAGTACTTTTCGAATTATAATGCTTGAAAATTACAGTACCGCTGGCATTAGCATTAAGCAAAGTGTCCAACCGACGGCTAAAATCTCTGTCGTTCAGGATCAGGTCCTAAATAACAATCGTTAAGATCAAGGTCATTGGAGATTGTTTCTCTTATTTTCATTTTTGCACTGAAAATTCATTCTTATGAATTTAAAAAATTAATGTTGACCTGACCTTGCCATTCTAGGCAAGGTTAAATAACCACTATTGTTGAATGCATTTTTTAAACCTTACAACTTTTGTAAGAAACATTTTTTTTTTAAATGCATTGTTTATAAGATATTGGGTGTATCCAGACTTTTGACTTATCCTGTATACATTGTTTTGTTATAACTTACTTTCATTGCAACTGTCTCTAGTCTCCTCTAATATTATTATTTAATGAGTCACTTAAAACCCTACAGCTTTTATATACAACGGTTTTCGAGGAAATACATATCATACGAGATATTTAACCGTTGCCTAACTTTTGGGACACACTGTATGTAATAATATACGGATTTAATAATAATATATTAACTAATTTTATCTATATTTGTTTTTACAGAAGAAGTGTTCAGCTCAAACAAGGCGCTCTGGTTTTCTCCAAGCGGCACTAAATTGGCCTTCGGTTATTTCGATGACTCTAGTACTCCTATTATGACTATACCATTTTACGGATATCCTGGAAGCTTATCTTTCCAATACACGTCGGCGATACCGATTCACTATCCTAAAGTAAGTACATATCCTACTGCTCCATTTTCAATGTACAATATAACAATACGATAAAGAAATATTATCTCGGACATTGCCATGTTTTTAATTCGTCGACTTCTGATATATTCTTTATTAACATTATCATTTTTTATCGAAAATATATTTTTTAAATTTTATAGCTTGATATACAGGAGATATACAGGATTTAATTTAAACTTCAAGTGTTTTAAAATTTAAATGTAAATATTTCTTTGCTACTTGCACAAAGAAATAATAAATTTCATGTACTTTTTACATATGGAATTTTTGTTTACGTATATAATTTCGTGATATCTGAAGACACGGTAGTATCTCGACGCTAAACATTGCTATACCTCCTTTACGCGAAGTATATTTTACGCGTTTTTACTAATCGCTATTTTAATTGATTATCTTTCTGTATGAAAGGCGTTTGCGCATCCGGAAAATGAAATTTTTCGCGGAGAAAACATAACGTCTCTTTAAAAGGCAACGATTCTGAGCGTTAAAGCATCTCTCAGAAATGTCCCACTTCCTTGGTCTCCGCGCGAACTTTCGTCTCGCGCTGTTCCATGCTGTCCGAGATATGAAGCTATCTAATCGAAGTTTACGTTTCTGAAAAGGTGACAGGAACGAGTATGGCACCTTTGCATTTTTCAGTATCTTTTTATGAATTTTGATTGACACCGTCGCAAAAAGTCGTGACATAACGTAAAAAAATATCTGTCATTGATCAATCTTTTAAATAACACCTTTGTTTTCGTACAACAATTTGTAAGGCGGAAAATTGTTTGAATGTAGAAAGGAGTAGATAGACAAATAAGTCTCAAAAATGATATAAAATGTACTGTGCATTAAAAGATTTCCATTTATATGCTTAAATACTGTCGCTAGTTTAAAAAAAAAGCTTAAACGTTCTTTTTTTTATATTTCATATTTTTCGCCAGAAGAACTGCATTATCTGCGAAAGATGATTGTAATCATATTATTTCTTCGATATACTGTGCGATATATAATTCGATATACAATTGCAATCGATCAAACAGCGAAAAGGAAACCATACGATTATGACAAATGCGTCCCCAGTATTTTTTGTTGTTTCACGCATACACTTGGATAAAATTCGTGGCGGATCGATTTCCCTCTCGGAGAGCGCAATTAAATTCTAAGTTTGATGTACAGTTCTACTTTAAGTGTCGCTGTTCTTTTAAAGAGATGCGACTCTTTAAGCTAAATTCTCAGTCTTAGATCAAAGTCATTAGCCAAGTGATTCATTTTTGTTTGATGTGCAATCGCAATTCTGTCATTTTTCTGAATACATTTATCTGAATTTCTTTCGCGACTTTATTGTGCTTCAAAGCTTGTACTTTAAGCGACATTTTAACAGAAATGCAATTCATTCTATTTATCTAAGTTGAATTTGCTTTATTCGTGATGGCCGCAAATGGAATTGTCATTAATATTCATTTCAGCCAAAGAGGAAATATATTACGAAAAAGACGAGTTTGTTCTATAAATATTTACATCTGTACGAAATTTTAAATTTCCCTGAAATTATAATAAAATGCAAATATAACCGAGCGATTCGAATAATTTTATTTTATGATTCGAAAATAGGTTGTTATGCTGAAACAAATTAACTCGTGACATAAAGTAACTCGCCATTTGGAAAGTGCTACTATTATCAACAGAAGCATTAAATGAAGTGGATATCTATGCGAAAGCATCGCTTTTATAAATTCTGCGTATTATTAAAATCATGTTATAAATTTTTTTTAATTTGTGCATAATGAATAATAAAATTATAAATTTGCTAGTTTATAGAATTACAGTTTACAAAAATGTTTTAATATCATTGATTGAAACAGATATCTATTTCGCGTGCAATTAACACAATCGTTCAGTGAAAATTATAAATGTTACAGTAAAACAGAATATAAATACAATTTATACAGTATAATTTCCATAAGAAAATAATAAGATTTATTAAATTAAAATTTTTATAGAATTTATAATTTTGAAAATTTGATTATATTAAGTTATATTTTGTTGTTAAAGAATAATACATAATAATGTTTTCACAACATTTTTATATTATTAACGTCACTTACTATTTCGTAAAAAGTTAAGTTTTTGCAAAAAGCGCGAGAAATTTTTAGAATTTGCTAAAATGTAATCAAGAGTCATCCTTAAGCTACAAGCAAACAAAACGACTGATTCGAGCTAGGCACCGCGTTACTTTTTGATGAAGCAAAGAGTACTACTCTATATATGCCAGTAAATTAATATTAGTAGAATATCACAAAGTCTCGAACAAATAAATAAACACTGCGAATAGTAATTACACCGTATTGCATCTTAGGATTAAACAAGATTGTCATTAAAACTTTCGATATTAAAACGAACAAGATTTTCAAATGCACTTAAAGTAATCAGTGAAGGAATAGCCATGGCGGAGATTTATGTTTTCAATTTCATTAAAACACTTTCGCGCAAACAAACCTTACAAACAATAATTTCACACATTTCGCAAGGAAAATGCATTTCTTGTAAATATATACCCGATTATTTTGACGTTCCCTGCAAAACTAAAATTTATTCTGTGATTCTTCACGTCCGAAGATAAATCGCTATAAAAACTTACAGCTAAAAAATTTTAACTTCTATTCTAATTCGATTAAAGAATTTATCGTAAAAATTAAGATTTTAGGTTATCCTTTGTACACTGACTTGTGAGAAAAAAGTTTTTAGCATGACTATAATTGTATAATAAAGTAATTATAATTTCTAATTATAATTATTAAAAATATAATTTCTAGTTATAATTATAATTAGAAAGTATATCCTTCATTCGGATCCTTTTCAACGTCACATTTAATTTTGTGAAATCATTGTGTTTCCTGATACATTGTACAACCATGAAATAAATTAAAAAATTACATTTAACCGAGCGCATATAACAATCTACAATTACTTAGATACGCAGAACAACACATTAATAATTAAATCAATGATAGATATATAATTGAATTTTCAACTACATGAGTTTCGTTAAAGAATATGAAACTGACATATTAACTGATCGAATGTTACAATTCATCTGACTAGTAAACAATATATTGGTATCATAGAAGATAGAGAATAGGAGACCGAACTTATATGGACAAATCCGTCAAAAAGCATGGTCAAAAGTGGTCAACTGAATTAGTTCGATGTAAATGTCGTTTCTGTTCCATGACATCGTTCTCGCAATTTATATGGTAGGTCGAATTATATCAGCTTTAAAGAATGCTTATTCTTTATGCAATTTTAATGACAATTTACGTCTTTCTGTTACTATCAAAGCATGTTGTCAAAGAATATCTATTATTATGTGTGATTGTGTGTGTAAGCGTATATGAAAGAAGTTTTGTCATTTGAACGCCGCCTACCGAGCATCACCAATACCAATTCAGAAACCTGATTTTAACGACACTTTTCAAAGCCTAATTCGGTCTCCTATTCTCTATCCTCCATGATTGGTATAACAGCTAGACAAAGATAAAGAAAATATTATATGTAAGAAAAGAGGAAGCATTAGTTGCTGGTTAATAAATTGTCATAAGCACTGTCTAACAGTTCAGTGTTCATCTGTAGATTTAGACTTTTTTTGTTTACAAATGAAAATCATTTCGGAAAGTTTTATTTAGGCTGCATTTCACTTAACGCTTGCAACGCTCGCAAGCATTGTTTATCCTTGTTTTGATAACATTTGATAAACAATATGGATGAAATGATTCCACAAGCGTTGTTAAATGGAACGCAACTTTAGAGTTCTTTCTTTGTTTAGAATGTTTATGACATATTCATGTCCATGTCCCAAGCAGTGTTCGATAATTATGGAACATTGTTGTGTTCTTCAATTAATGTCATTTTTGTTTTCACTGATTTTCGTTTTCAAGGTTCTGCTCGTCTGACCTACGTATGACGTATCGCAATTATCTCGTACACAATATTAGTATGGAATATTGGTGGAAATCTATCTTGTTCAGTTTATTAATACCTTTGTATGCCATGCTTACTATGTTAATGTCCTTTATAAAATTCTTAATTTTATCAGAAATGCAATATAAGATATTGTAAAAAATAGATAGTGCACATTGTAGTTATTACTTTTTGTAATTATTACTACAAAAATATAATATTAGAGTAGAATAGCTAGGCGGTTCTGAATCACTATTTGTTAGTGCGTAGATATATGCGGTATGTGTGTGTGTGAGGGGTCAGGGGAGGGGGAAAAAGCACACAGACACTGGGAGGGGGAATCTCTCTCTCTCTCTCTCTCTCCTCTCACTCGTTGTAGGATGCAATTCTCTCTGTTTCGCTCGTTGCGGCCCTATTATTCGCGCTCTCTCTCTTCCTCCCATTGCATTCTCTCCTACGTTCTCTTTTCTTCTTTCGCACACAATTTTATTAAATATGATATTTATAAAATATGACTTGGCAATTATAATAATATTTTTAGTAATGTAATACAATAAATGCGCTTTCTTATCAACTAATTCAATACTCTTTGTACTACTGAGTTATATTATATTAAATTGATTCTTAACTACGGGGAAAGGGATAAAGAAATATAAACATATTTAAAAAGAATCTTATACTTTATTTTTTATATTTGATATATATTCTTTTTCTTTTTGACATTGCGACCACCAATTGTATATTTTAAAAACATTTTGTTACGCACAATTCTTAACATGTTTTACACATCGTATAGTATTAGTATTAGTAACATCAAGATTATTCAATGATTCTACATCTTCATAATCAGCATCGAGTCATAATCAGGTCTCAATGATCAAGTCATCGCTATTGAGTATATCAGTCAGCTGTTAGTGTTTTTCACGTCCTTTAACGTATACGAGAGACTTATTATCATCATTCTCTTCCGTACCAATTACAGCCATCGTAACCAGGCGTTTCACCATGCTGTACGGTATCATCTTTGTATCCATATA